TGGCCCGACCGAGATCTTCCACGGCAACTAGAGCGGCCTTGTGAAAAAATATTTGAAGGATAATAAACTACAATAGCCTCCATTTGGCTTCAAAAATTTGCTCGGATATTTGTCCTTGGACATTATCTGTTCCTCGAAGCTCACAGTTTTCCTCGAGCTTCGCTCTCGGAAAACTGTTCGCTTCTCGGCAACAGATAATGTCCGCGGACAAATATCCGAGCATATTTTTGAAGCCAAATGGAGGCTATTGTTTATATATCAATGTATTTGCCATATCAATGTATTTAACAAATAGATTCCATTTGGCCGCCGTACGTCTGTACTCTAATAGAGTACAGATGACGTCAAAAACGTGACAAGAACACGTTTTGACGTCTTCTGTACTCTATTAGAATACGTACAGACGCACGCGACAAATGGAATCTATTCCTTTTATATAAAATTCGGAGGTATCCTGGGAGGGTATTTAATAAAAATTTATGGCGAGCGGACGGCGAGCGGGGAAAATTATCAACTTGAAACACAATTTGCTGTTTATTACGTCAAAGATCATCTATAACAATCGAGCATTCAATTTACATTCGAATCGAGCCATCGGCGGCAAAAGTCATAGGAAAAACTCTGATTTCTCGACGAATCTATGTTAAGTCAAAAGTCAAATTACTTTTTCCTCAAAGCGTGACTGAGATCCTAAGTAAACCTGAACGTTTGCAATGTTACATGAACTGAAAAATCCAGAAGAAACGCGTTCATCGAGAGAGAACTGTTTCACAGTCATGCTGTTTGAAGTTGTCGTGCATGTGAGAGCTGGCGCTGGAGCAGAGGTCTTTGAAGGAGAAATCACGGTCGTATTGCTGGAACTTTCAACCCTTGAAGAACTACCGTTTCCAAGGGCATTTGATATGGTATCTGAGAACTTTCTTAGCTGAGGACCGAACGGTAGTGAGCTGTAGTGCGCAAGGCTTTGCTCGTTGCTGTGGCCCGAGACGAAGGTAATATGGCGATCTGGTATGTCGGCATCTGACCACAAACTGATGGCACGCGGTTGCTCGTACTGAGTGGTTTGTGTAAACCTGAGAAAGGTTGCATCCAGCGGAGATTGACTTCATCATATTGCCCAGGGTAGGGATGACTAGCGGTTTATTAACCGGGCGTGGGCCTGGGGCCCAGCCCGGTTAATAAAATAGCTTCTGTTTTTTTTTTGTCGTCGATCACTTTGCATACGCGCTACCCCTGCTCTACTCCGCCAAAGTGCTAGGAAGGAGAGCTAGGGGTGAGTATGAATATATATGAATGTATTCGCCTTGTGAAAGATTTTCTCGGGGAAGAACGAAGCCCGGACTCGAGAGAGCGGCGGAAATCGAGCCTATGTGAAAGTTGGACTGGTCCAAATAGATATTAATTTAGGACCGCGTAAACACATCGGAGCGGCGTACAGATTTCGCAACGTCGGTGAGTTTGACTCGTTAAAATATTAAATCATTGTACTCACTACTAGGTGGACACACTAGGAGCGCCATTAGATCAATTTTTTTTTTATCAAGGCTACGTTACATTTCGCCAGGGTCATAATATTGTCCTGTTTTTTTTGTGTGAAATACATTTCTTTTCCGTAAAGGAAAACAGAAAACTTGCCCAGACTCGCAGATTTATGTAAACAGAAACTTGCTGAGAACGTTGCAGATTTATATTTTGGACGATTACGTCATAGGGTCACGTCGAATCGTGACTTGAAGAGATTGTCTGTGAGGTGCGTACGTACATCACATACACTAGAAGCTACAATCTGCGAGAAGAGTGAAAGAATACAATGTTGTTGGCCTTGTTTAGATAAACTTACAACTGACTTTGAAGACCATTATAAAGATAAGCTATTGTCCATATGCAGATGGCAGTTTTTGATGGCCAATATAGACAGCGTTTTATGGGCAAAGGCAAAGATGGCGGAGTGGGTTTCAATAATCCGAATGAAGAAGAATATAGCCAGTATCTTTCAAACTGTGGAGCAATTTGGCAACAATGTTTTCAAAGTTGGAAGCTTATCACAAAGTGATGAAAGGTGAAGCCCCACTTAACAAGTAAATGGAATTAATCAGAAGCCATGTATTATATACAATTTTATTGGCTGAACTGTTTCACATGTATTCACTGTCAAATTTGCATTTCAATTATTGTTTGACAGCACTTATTAGTAAATAATGCCACTGACTAATAATAATTAGTCATTTACCCGAATTGGCTCAATTATAATTTGAATATTTAATAAACAAGCTTGGGAAATATAATTATTAACTTCCTAATGTGTAGTTCCCAAAAAAATATCCATACCCGCCAATGGAAAGGATATATCCTATGACCCCCTGCCCTCTGGATTTTCCAAAATTTCCCCTACCCCCCCCCCCCCCCCCTTGAAATTTCTAAATTTTAGCACACCCCGTGGAAAATAGTTAGGGTTTCAAACTTTCCTGGGAAGTTTACCACTGAGCTAGGGGTTTCGACAGCCTCAAAATGATTTTCACCAAAAATTCCCAGTTTCATGAAGGGCTTATTGTGGTCATATTAGGGACTGTGCAATAATTACCAGGAGAGGGGGGGGGGGGGGGGGGGTTGGAAAACCATGAGGGGGCATAAAGTAAAATCAAAGCAAGGATGGGGGCGGGGGGGGGGCTCAAGGTAAAATAAGTCACTCAAGAGAGGGGGGGGCTTAACATTTATTTCAAGTACATATTACATTGGTGAATCCATACCTATATTTCAGTATAAGGTGGGGACTGAAAATTTTTTCCAGCCCTTCAGACCTGAAAATAACACACAACGCTCTTTTCCTTCTGCTACGGCTCTGTTGTACATTGCTGCAGAGGTGATGTTTGTTCCAGACATGTCCAACAATTAAACATGTAGTAGGAGCTCTTCTTCGGTTATAAGATTTTAATCCATAGGTGCGTGTGGAAAAAATACTGGTACTTGCTATAAAGGTGTGTGGGGAGTATACTGTGAGGAGGCGGGGGGGGGGGGGGTAGGGGGGGGTCGTACATAATTTCTGACTGAATAAATAAATTCACTCCTTTAGGTGGGAGGGGGAGAGGGGGTATTACCTAATATTTTCCTACATGAAGCTCATTTTCCAACCCCCCTCCCCTCCCTCCTGATAATTATTGCCACAGTCCCTTATAGTACTGTATCAAAAATGACCATCTTGAAGTTCATTTAAACTGGTTTTATCCATAAAACAAACTTTGATATTGCTTTAGGATTTCATTAGTTGTGACAGTTTGGGTGTTGGCATGGAAAAAACAGTATGTCAGACGAGTGAAAATTTGTTTTGACTAGTAAAATTTGACAAATCAATAGGATAGTAACTTCAAATAATTATGTTTTCCTCAAGCCAGTTAATTTTCTTTTAAGCTACCTCATTTTGTTGACTATATAAATGGGATTATTATGGGATCTGGTAATAATAGTTACTTTATTGGGGGAGGGCAAGGGATTAAAATAATATTATATCAATTTGAAGCCCTGTGAGTCATCTACAGTGTAGGCACTGTTAGGATTGATGATGATCAATTATGCATGAATTATGCAATGTCTTTATTTACTTATTGAATTAATCCTGTTTAAAAAAAAATCTTTTATATGGCTGAATTGGTCCATGATCAAAAATGAAAATATGATTGGTTCCCCAAGCAGTTGAAATTTAGCTTTAGGAATGTGTAGAATTTGGGAACAAGCTTCTGATAATACACTGTACAGTTTTCCTGTCTGTGTCACAGGCCTATAATTTTAGCAGAACTTCTAGGAGTGTAGTTTCAAACATTTTAAGGGCAATTCCTGGCTCAAACCATAAGAATATACATGTACATGTAAGAACCTTAGCTTAAAAATTAGTTGCTTTATATCAGCTTGAATTAAATTAATTTTCTTTTTCTTTTCAGCTATACTGTGGATATGGCGATTGGCATTTGTAGTTGCAACATTGGAAAAGATGGAAGCCCATGTAAGCATCAGTATGTGTTGTGGTGTGCAAAGATTGCCTACTGTATAAATTTTGTTCCAATCTCCCAGCCAGAGATACGTCAAAAATTAGCTTGGATTGCAATAGAACAGTCATTACCCCTTTCTTATTACAAGAATTTACGCACTCCAGATGACTCAAGCAAGCCAGAAATCTGATGAAATACTCCTGAAAATGAAGCAGCATTGCAACTCAATATTTCTTCTCCTGACACCCAAGAGGGATTGGTGTGTGAAGATCGGCACAGTGAATCAGAGGATGAGTGTATCGATTCAGCAGCAGATGCATTGAGGAAATCATGTGAGCAAATGACAGAAAAGCTTAAAAATACAAAAGATCCAAATCTGGCCAAAGGAATTTTGAAATTCTCTAAGAGAGTTATGACTCTATCCACTGCCACAGCAATGCATTCAAATCTTGTAACAGCACTTTTTAACTTTGGATCTGCTGAATTAAAGAAAAACTGGAAAAGGCAGAAAGATCAAAGTGCAACCAAACAGAAAAAGGAAATCCGGAAATGGTAGTCGCCAGGCCGTTTCCAAAGGACGCCCAACGCAGATGCAGTCATTGGAAATACCCCAGAAAAAAGCAAAACGAAGTCATAACTTGGCACAGGCTGTGAAAATCAAACACACAAAGTAGCAAAAAGTCGGGATCTCATGTTATGAAGTCAAAAACTAAGCATGTCCATAAAAAAATAGAAGAAAAAATCAAGTCTGGGTCATACAGGGTTCCAGATAAGTTTTTAAAGGCAATTTAGTGTCAATGAGGAATTGCAACAGGGCAATAGATATGGACCTCACCAAATTGTCAGAATTTTCCCATGAATTTGTCGGATCAAGTAGCCGACCTTTTCAGGTTTTCGACCTGAGACCCCTCTCTTATCTGGAACACTGGTCATAAATGTTAAGGTTGCAAGCAGACTACTCAATTTGAGAATGATATCTTTTCAGTCAGTACACAGGCATACTCGGAAAAAAAACTGAGTTTCTCGCAACAGGAGTCGAACCTATGATCTTACGATTACTAGTTTGGATGCTCTACCACTGAGCTACATGTATAGGAGACTCGTCACGTGGGAGCTTAGGCCAGAAAAGTGTAACTCAATTTGAGTTACATACATGTAGTCTTAGGTACCATGACATTATTTTACACTAGTTGCATTATATTCAGAGTTCATAACATGGTTCCAGGAAATAATTTAACCATCCAATATTTTGGGTAGATGAAGGCCAATGCTTTTTGTTTTGTGGGCACTTTCAAAGTAATCAAAAGACTATTCAAAAACACAACATTCCTGAGAAATGGAAATTTTATTGGAATGTATTTCAGTATGCCAGGCGCTAATTAATTTTTCTCCCTGGCTTCTGAATAAATCAGGTAATAAAGTTCTCCACATTAAAAACTTCAAAATAGCTTATTAATATTTTTGAAAAATAACAGACACTAAAAACACATAACACAAACTGTAAAACAGTCTATTTTGGGGTGAGCTAGTTTGGCAAAAAGGGTTGGAGGCAAGTATTGATGATTCATACATGTACATCTCCCTCTAGCATAGAGAAACAAAATGGGTGTTTTGCAGTCTGAACACAAGCCTGATGCAAGTCCAGTTGAACCAACCCTATCATTCAGGACTGCACTAGGTCGCAAACTGTCACTACCTGGTGGGTTTCAACAAAACAATGACCCCCTGTCAACTGACCCCTTACTAACCCTACTGACCCCCTCTGAAATTCACTGGGGAAATGAGAAAAACAAAACAAAAGTCCAGAACAATAAGAGACTGAATCAAGTTCATAAATCAAAACATCTGCAGTTGTAGTTACATGTATCACAGTTTATTTTAAGGATAGAAAAGGAAGATATTTATGAGGGTGTATTTTCCTTTATATTATTTCTGAAAACTAAGAAAAGGGGAGGGAAGTTAATATAGGGAGTGAGGACACGTTTGACAAAATCTGACTTCCAAAGGGTGGGAGACTTACTAAAGAGCTTTTATGATAACAGTCAAGTCAACACATTATACCAATTATTACATGTAAAAAACCTCCATTGAGTTCATTTGTGTGTTTGCTGGTGTCTAAGAAGATTTCTGTTCTCAGCAAACACTTTCTTACAAATGTCACACTTGAATTGCTTGCATGGACTTTGTTTCTGTGCCTCTTAAGTTTAGCTTCATGGTCGAATGTTTCTTGACACACCTCACAAACACATTCCCTACACCCTTTAATATGATATTTGAGTCTTTATCTCTTGCAAAGGTCTTTTTGCAGGTGGGGCATTCCATTTTTGCCAGCAAGCCCATATCCAGGTCCCTCCCTGTAGGACTGTGCTTTCTGCTTCCAGTCCTGTGGTTAAAAGTTATAACAAAATGAAGTCATAATATCAACAAAATGCCTAAACTAAAATATTAATAATTGGTTATTATAATGTTCACACACTTTATATTCAAGAAAGGTTGCACTAGGGCATAAATGATAAATTATCATTTTATTCCCTAGTGCAACATTTTATATAATGATACGGTCACAGCACATTATGTACTTTCAGTAGATTTTTCTATATTTACCCCATGAGGGTCATGTAACCTTTCAATGGAAATACGATCAGAGGTTTTCGAATGGAGCCACCAATTTGGCAAAATTATCATCATCACTCATGCTTTGAGAAAAAAAACCTTCACAAAATATTAATACTTTGAATATTTATTTTTGGAATATATTTGAATACATGAAGGGGGGGGGGGGGGGGGGGGGTGGGTTGAGAGGGCTTAATAAATGTTTGGCTCCAACAAATAGGGCTTATTAGAGAATGGGTCTTTTATAACTCTAGTATAAAATACATGTTATGAGGCTTCATGGTACATCTAACTTGATCATCTTAACAACCATGTATGTAATTTATGCCAGAGTTATGTGACCTCCAAGGCATGTTGTCTCAGGGATGAATCTTTGAAATTAAATCACCTAGAGCTGGACAATGTATTAAAATCCACAGGGAAAAATACATAACTATACAGACTGGAGTGGGGAATGATAGATTGCATTTCGAAATATATCCATCTCCCAGTATGCAAAGGCCTTTTTGTTACATTTAGCAAACTTAGTTCCAGTCATCTCCTGTAAAAAGATTTAATTAATTAATTCATACCAGCTTGGTAAACCATAAGTTGTTTTTCCAAAACAATTATGCAACTTTTTACGAAAAATGGAGAAGATTGTTTGACAACCTATGTTTCCTGGGAGTTGAGGGGTTCATAATTTACTAAAAGCAAAGATAATCTTGATTATTATACACTTGTCTTTACCATTCTTCTGTCCGAAGGAAGACTTTTCCACATTTTGGACACAACACTCGACATCTGGCCAATGTTAGCAGCCCCAAGCTCATCTTGTACTGCAGGCTGTTATTTATGTCAATGTACATGTGTGGTACAAGTAAAAACAAATAGTTTAATAATAAACTCTTTCTAAAATCACTCCGATTCAAATAGTCTACTTATAAGAATTCGTGACAAGAATTTGTCAATTATTAAAAATAAGCTTGGTCATTAATGGTTTAGCTTAAAGTTTGAATATATAAATACACTCCAATTCAAATAGCCTTTCTTTGAAGTTAATCTAATTCACGACTCAAATAAATTACGCATTCCTTTTGTGAAACAGCAATGCATAGCGTCACATATGAATGGCATACTTACCGCTACTGACTGATAAAAAGAGTTCCAACCGTGGGTATTTTTAGTGACTTCGGCTTGACCTTGGGCTGGATGTTCAGTTCTGACGGATCGGTTCCACTGGAAACATCTTCGACGATTTCGTCCGCCATTTTGGATTCCAACTGGCCCAGAATTCCCGGTTATTACCCAGGATACAACGAAAGAATGGTTACGTGATCTCCCAGAAGCCAACAGAGAGTGAAATATCACGGTATCGCGTTTTTATCCATCATCCTCCAGGAGCTGGAATGGCATCGACCATTATGAAAGGCATCGACTGTTACCAGAAATGGCAACGACCGTTATCAAAGGCGACGACCGTTTACGAATGGGAAATTTGCGTCGCCGTTAGGTCAAATTTCATATCAAGCTATTACTTTTGATTTGAAACATGAATACTCTGCTGTTTTATTTAGTGTGAAATACATTACTTTTTCGTGTTGGTGCAGCAATTCACTTCCTTGTATGCAGAAGATTTATAAACAAGAATTTTCGAAGAAAATATAACCGGGCTTTCTTTATCAAGCAAGCAAGCCGTTTTACCTGCTTTCTTGCTTGAAATCTATCAGATTAGTCACGGCAGTCACGCTGAAGTCTGATGTTTGCGTATAGTGCCTACTGTAAATTTTCTTGCCTCTGAGCAGTCTTTGAAGATCATTCCTCAATATAAAGCCAAAGTTGAATAAGAGGAAAAAACACGACAACATAGGTACGAATCGGTGTTGAACCATCAATCGCAGACGTTCCGCGTTGCCACCATCATCATTCGCAGCTATTCTAGTCACAGTTCGACAAATTGCGTGAGTCAAAATGTGATATTATAATGTAATGATTGTTATTTATAAATCTTCTGCATACAAGGAAGTGAATTGCTGCACCAACACGAAAAAGTAATGTATTTTACACTAAATAAACAGCAGAGTATTCATGTTCAAATCAAAAGTAATAGCTTGATATGAAATTTGACCTAACGGCGACCCTGGTTTATCACAGACGTTGCGAAATCTCGTCAAGTCAAAGTTAGACGTGACTCATGTGACCCCATGACGTAATCGTCCTTATTTATAAATCTGCATTTCTCAGCAAGTTTCTGTTTTTCTCAGAAAATATACGGAAAAGATATGTATTTCACACAAAATGACAATTATTTAACAGGACAATATTCATAAAATATCATTTAGGCAAAGGATGACCCTGGCGAAATCTAACGTAGCTTGATAAAAAAATTGATCTAATGGCGCTTCCAGTGTATGTGATGTACGTACGCACCTCACAGACAATCTCTTCAAGTCACGATTCGACGTGACCCTATGACGTAATCGTCCAAATATAAATCTGCACGTCTCAGCAAGTTTCTGTTTACATAAATCTGCGAGTCTGGGCAAGTTTCTGTTTTCCTTTTCGGAAAAGAAATGTATTTCACACAAAACAAACAGGACAATATTATGACCCTGGCGAAATGTAACGTAGCCTTGATAAAAAATTTGATCTAATGGCGCTCCTAGTGTGTCCACCTAGTAGTGAGTACAATGATTTAATATTTTGACGAGTCAAACTCACCGACGTTGCGAAATCTGTACGCCGCTCCGATGTGTGTACGTGGTCCTAAATTAATATTTATTTGGACCAGTCCAACTTTCACATAGGCTCGATTTCCGCCGCTCTCTCGAGTCCGGGCTTCGTTCTTCCCCGAGAAAATCTTTCACAAGGCGAATACATTCATATATATTCATACTCATCCCTAGCTCTCCTCCTAGCACTTTGGCGGAGTAGAGGTATAGGTGAATCACGACAAAAAAAAAAACAGAAGCTATTTTACTAACCGGGCTGGGCCCCAGGCCCACGCCCGGTTAATAACAACCATTACGTTACACTATCACATTTTGACTCACGCAATTTGTCGAACTGTGACTAGAATAGCTGCGAATGATGATGGTGCAACGCGGAACGTCTGCGATTGATGGTTCAACACCGATTCGTACCTATGTTGTCGTGTTTTTTCCTCTTATTCAACTTTGGCTTTATATTGAGGAATGATCTTCAAAGACTGCTCAGAGGCAAGAACATTGACAGTAGGCACTATACGCAAACATCAGACTTCAGCGTGACTGCCGTGACTAATCTGATAGATTTCAAGCAAGAAAGCAAGTAAAACGGCTTGCTTGCTTGATAAAAAAAGCCCGGTTATATTTTCTTCGAAAATTCTTGTTTTCGTACCAAATGGGATCTTCGTTGCTGGCTGCGGGTCTTGGACGCTGAAAGAAAGCTTTACATGATGGATTTAGCTTCGGCAGATACCGTTTGAGGCAGGAGAAGGCACCTTAAGGTTCTTCAATACTGTACAGC